TCTCCCATAGGGCCCTAACCAGGGGTGTCCCCTCCACAGGATCCTACCAAGCGGTGTCCCCACAGGAGCTAGGCAACGGGTGTCTCCCACAGAGGCCTGAAATGGTGTCTCCACAGAAACCAGGTGTGGCTACAAACTGTGGCAAGGCCAGATTCCCTGCTACAGAGCAGCTCGGAGCCTAAGGAAATGGGGTCTTGGAAGCCTAGGTAGAACATAGGCTCAAGGCTTAAGGTTCTAGAGCCCGGGACACATGGCTGAGGAGAGTGGCCACCTGGTAGAGAGACAGAGAAGAGCTATCTCTCCCCAGACCCCATTCTCCTCAGACACAAGCAACAGTGTCCTATCATAGCTGGCGAGGCAAGGGCACACTGCCTTTCCAGGACCCCCCAGGGGCCTGCTGGGGCACGAAGGTTCCCCCAGGAACCGTGAAGGCAAAGCCACAAGCACAGGATTTGCAGGACCCTGTCACCCACACAGGAAGTCCACGGCGGAGTATTCCTCACCTCACCTGTTAGCTCCTGCCCTGAATGACCCAGCGATTCCCACACGGTATCACGGTCAGTGGAATGACAAACCCCACAGCTTCCCAGGCCTGATTACAGAGCCCCCCCCCCCCCCCGGGTGCGGGCTGCAGTGCGTGGCTACCTAGCAGCTGCCCGAGGGACAGGTTAGCAGCAAGGTTATCCCAGGACAGCCACAGGGGGATTATGGTGGATGAGTCAGGTAGGAGAGGGTCAGCAAGGACCACGATAATGGTTGTTCCGCACTGCCTTGGGGCCTTGAGGACAGACATAGGGGTGGCAAGCTAAGGAATGTTCTAGACGGAAGACAAGGCTTTCCCTGGAGCCTCTCAGAACCTGGCCCTGTCCATCCTGGATTCCCACAGTGACTGCAGCCAGGAGCTGAATAACCCCCTCCCCCCTTAGCTGCTGCCAGGTGTTTGATCACGGTAACAAGAAAAGTGACAAACACGGCCAGTGACGGCACCCGTGGGTAAAGCAGTGTGCGGCAGGCAGGCCGCTGCACCTGTATGCCGGTGAGAATGTGGGGTCCTCAGCTATCCTCCGGAGGAGAGGGTGGGAGTGAGGTCACAAACCCTGGTGGACAGATGTGCACGGCTAAGCCCCAGTTCTCTCGGGGAGGTCTTCACGAAGCCCCGCCCACTGTGCGCACATGACTGGCCTGACTACTGGTAAGGATGCTGACACACAGCTGAGAAAGGGAGGGCCTGGGACCAGAGCGGCAGGGCACGGACTATGGCACACACAGCTCAGCTCATCAGTGGGGACTGCAGCTTCTACTGTCTCTGGCGATATGAGAAACGGCTACACAACCCAGAACGGATGTGCAAGGCCGCCATCCATCTGACAGGCAGATGGCCAGCCCCACGGCCATGCAGAAAGCACATGCAGAGACAGGAATGGTGCACGCTGCTGTTGCTGAGTGTGTCACCTACGCGACCTTGCCTGGCAACTACCAGTGCGTCTTGGAGTTTACGTCATTGCCCCGACGCTGACTCATTTTCACGGTGGCCGTTCTGCAGGTGGAGCAACTGAGGCTTCGGGAGGTCCTGAACTCTGCAAACTAAGACTAGGGCTTAGAAACCTGGACCTGCATTGACACCTAGGCCATCTCCCTCCTGTCACTGCAGAGCGTGTGACACTTCCATTCCAAGCAGCCTATGCTCAGCACAATGACAACTTTGCTTTGAGAGGCCACTCCCACCTTGCCAGCTTCCATTCCACATGCACATTAAATGGATCTTGGTCCGGCTAGAGGCTCGAGGCTGTTGACAGAGCCAAGTGGCCTCACACTGCAGGGAAGGCTGCCCACCCAAGACTCCACACCACACCCTTCTCCCCATAAGGGACTGCCCACCAGTCCAAGGTTGCTTTGGGCCTTGCTTGCTAGAGGAACCATGGCTTGGCTCACCGTGGTCCTGACAGGATGGAAAAGCAGACCCAGGGGGCCTGGCAGATGCTGGTCCATTCTCTATGGCTCAGATCTGGGCCTAAAACCAGCAGTGGCTCTCTAATACAATGCCTGTGAGTTGACGCTGTCCACATAGTTTGTCTGGTTAGCCGACCAGAAGCTTCACCAACCCTGCGATCTAAGTGACACCAAATCCAACGAAACCTGGAACTTGGAGGGTGGAACCCAATGGCTCCAGACTCACTGCTCAGCACAGGAACTGCTGGGAGCCCTGACTTAGACCAGGCTTTTCCCCGACCAGCTCCATATAGAGAATGCTTTCAGGGAAGCGGAGTTGAGTTGGGAAATGGTTGGCGGAGGTGTTTACAGCCCTGCCAGGACGGCTGATGTCCCTTCCTGCCCTGTCAGTGCAAGTCAGAACGGGCTGAAGCCACCACAGCTGGGCCCTAGCCATGCTTCCTCCGAGCGAAGCTCTAGAAAGAAGGGAAAGGTTAGGAGAGAGAGAGAGAGAGAGAGAGAGTGAGTGTGTGTGTGTGTGTGTGTGTGTGTGTGTGTGCGTGCGCGCGTGCGCACATAAGCTCTGTGTGCACCTGTGGATACAGGGTCTAGACCACACGTGTTGTATTCATGAGGGCCCTGCCTATACCTGTTAGGAGGACGGATTTCCACCCACATACTGTGCAAGTGCGTGGCTGTTGGTGAGTCTGGGAGACCTGTAGCTCTGTGTTCTGTAGTCTTCACAGCTTGGTGTTTGCACGTGTGCACCTGTGTGAGTGTATCCACGTGTGTTGGTGCATACCCGTGTGTGTGTACGCAGGCCCATGTCTGTCCCATATGTTTGAGCGCCTGTATTGACATGGACACCCACTGGTGCTATCTAGGTTTGTGTGTGTGGTGGGAGGTCCTGATGCACCATCTCTGTGTGTGTATACACGTGTCTGCATGTGTAACCACATGTAGCCCAGCTCCACGTCCCACGTGACGGGCTATGGCAGGCTAACAGTGCACAGCCGGTGTGAGCCACGCAGCCCGCTGCTGGCTGAGGGGTGGCGGGGGTATGATAACGCATCAGCCACTGTCAGGTTCTGAGCAGCATGGCTGCCCCGGTGGGACCTGACTGCAGGCCACGCTCCTGGCTGCCGCTGCTAGAAGCTGCCCTGGGCCATCTCTCCTGGAGGGAGCAGCTGGCAGACGGGGAACCAGTGCCCTGCTCCGCTCTCACTGCCCGTCAGGACTCCCCAGCCAGTCTGCTTTGTCTACTGACCCCAGCTCTGCCTTGCTTGGATGGTGGGGATGTCCTCCTGAGCCTATACCTTGGCTCCCTGACCCTTAGGGAACACCTCACCCCACCCCCATGCCCAGCGCAGCCTGGAGAGTGAGCCAGGTTGTAGCCACCCAGGAGTCATTGTCAGGGACTCATAAGTGCAAGGCCTATCCCAAAAAGCTCCAAATAGGACCCCTGACTGGACGCTGAAATATCACCCTCAAAACCTGTGACTGGGGACTTTCTGGATCAGAGCTAACACTGCCAAGCTACAGCTGAGCAGGCTGTAGGAGCCAGACACAGGGTTCAAACCCCAGTACGCCATCACTGCTGTGTGACGGGGGTAGGGTGGAGATGGTGGTGGGTGATTCAGCCCCTCTGAGCCCACTATACATCGATGTGCTAATGTGAATCGGCATGCACAAACACAGACACATTAGCCTCGGCTTGCCTAGGTGACACAGAAGCCCGTGGTCTGCCAGCCACCAGGCAAATCTAATCTCACAGACTCAGTTTGAGAGGCTGAGAATTTGCTGAAGGTTCCCCACCCCAAAGCAGGTGCACCTGTCCCCACACAGTGACTGGCCCTCCTATAAAACCCCATGAGGGGCTGGCCTGCCCTGAGGGATATGAAGTCACAATGAACGTCCTTGGGCCTGTAGGCACATCACAGACGTTGCCCAGAAGGGTGGGTAGGAAATGCAGAGACAAGTGGGCTTTCAAGACCCAATCCAGAAGGGCATGTCCTAAACCTTGGAGGGTTCATGCCAAATCAGATCATCTAGCTTCCATGGGGCATGTCTGTGGAGCTAAAGGGGGTGCTGCCCACAAAAGCACAGCGTTCTGTCTACTGACCTGGGGAAGCCATCAGAGCTGGCTACGTGCTGAGGCTCACACACTACAGTCGTTTCCCTTGGTATCAGATGCCACACCTGCTGGGAAAGCCAGGCCCACCCATCGCTATGCCATCTCACAGATGCAACGCTCTGAACATGCTAGAGGAACCTGGGAGTGTTGGCGCAAGGGGATGCCAGTCTCTGGCAGCACTGGCCCTGTAGCGCCCCATGGGCTGCACCCCCACTTTGCTGTATGGCCATCCTATCCACACCTGCCAGTGTCTGAAGCCCCTCAGGCCCCCAGGGCATAAGCCCCGGTCTGTTAGGTCCTGTGGACTGAGTCCATCTCACAGAGGAAAGGAGGTCAGTACTGCAGGGTGAACACTCCAGATCAAAGCCAGGGCCTGTAGTGGTCGGACCACGTGACCTCTGCCCTGCCTGTGACCTCCCCTAGCCAAAACCCCTCCTGTTTTCTAACAAGCCACACCGCTGGTCTCTACCACCTCAGTAGCTAGGTGGGTCATGAGCCCACAAGTGGCTGAAGGGCTCAGGAGAGCCACCCTGGCTATAGCTTCCTCAGAAGCCACCGAACAACAACAGAGGGTGTGAGGGCATCAAGCTGGGAAGCTCGACAAGGGATTCTCACACCTGCCGACCCACAGGGGAGCCTTCACGGGTGACTGGGTCACCTGGTACGCATATCCGCATTACCCCCAAAACACAACCTGCAGGCTCATGTCTGCTCTGACGGCATTTATAGGCATGAATAAGTCAGTGCACAGGAACATTCAGTACAGAGCTTGAAGAGAATTCTCCAAACCCCGGGAAGAGGACTCGAGCCCTGTAATGCCGAGGATGTACGGTAGAACTCAGCTCTGAACTCAGTGCCTCAAATCGGCCTCCAGAGGTGAAGCCCGAGGGCTGGCTCAGGCCCAGCCCATGGGGAGAGACGCAGAACAGCACTCTACCTGTGGCTGTAAGGTCAACGCCATCCCCGTCCCAGCTGTCCCGGCTGCTCTGCTGGCTTGACACTGGCCTCAGCTCCTGGGTGATCCTGGTACCCCTGGAGAGGCTGTCTGTGGGGGGCACCAGCTGGGGCTCCAGCTCTGGCACAGGAGCATGCGCAGTTGCAGGTGACTCCAGGGAGGCAGTGGTGACCTGCAAGGAAAGAAGGGGACAGATGAGCCAGGAAGGAGAGGGGTCTCGGGCTGTCTCGCCATTCCTTCCTCACTGTGGCCTGACCCCCGTGGTCAGCAGTTCAGCTGAGCCGTCTGTGTGTCCTCCCGTTGCCCGGCCAGGAACCACAGGCTGACGCTGGACATGGTAGCACTGTGTGTCCGTCTCTTGCTATCCCGACATAGCTTCTGACAGCCACAGTGGCGAGAGGTTAAGAGCGAGCTGGGGAGATGCACCAAGCTCCAGTCTTACATAGCCTGTCCCTGAGGACGTCTAAATGCCATTGTGCAGTGCGCCACAGGACCCCAGTGTTGAGCTTGGGAAGCCAGGCTGGCCCTCTCAGCTGTACCCCATAGATTTAGGGGGGATGTTACTTCTCCAAGTCCTCTGGGGACCAGTCTCTTCACATCCTTTCAAGGTTCTGTTGTGACTGTCTGTCAGGCATGGGTGAAGTTCCCCACTGCTCAGGTGAGTGAGGAGGACTCAGGAACCCAGGCGCATCATCCTTAGGGTCTGTTGGAAAACACTCGGCTCCTTCTCCTTTACACCATGAGTTTGCCTGGCCTCACCTCCTGAGATAAGGGTTCTACATATTTCTAGGTACCTGCATCATGTGAGCCAAAGGGAAATGTGAAAGGCAGGTACCCTTTGAAACCAGACACCTTATTAGGCTTCAGTGTGCCTCTGTGGAATTGCCACATCTCCTTACACCAGCCCGCTAGGCAGTTACTGCCATGCCACCCAGTCTCTACAGAGATACCCATCTGCACCATAGGCATCCAGCCCCCACCAGGACACTCAACTTGGTCATGTTAGGCTCAAAAAATCAGAGTACAAAATATGGGAGTCAGTTCTCTCTTTCCACCATGTGGGTATAGGGATCAAAGTCAGGTCATCAAGATTGCTAGCTGTACCTTTCCTTGCTGAGCTGTCCCACTGGCCTCTTCTGTGTGTGTTGAAGTTGTGGGCACATGTACTGAACACAGAATTCACCACAATACCTTCTCACTTCCCAGATAGAAATGGTCCCAATCCCCATGTCCCGGTACCCAGCCATCACCCTTCTAACCCCTGTCCCTACCATACCCGCTTGTTTCTGCCTGTGACCTTGACAATTCTAGTTGTCACACACACACACACACACACACACACACACACACACACACACACACACACACACACACCTTTCAAAAGCTGGGGAAATTTCAGAAGGGGCCTCAGAAAACAAGACTGATTCAAGAAGAATCAGCCTAGGCCAGGGAATGGATTCCCAGGGCTAGGTAGGCGGCTAGGGTTAGCTCAGCTGCTGCCAGGCCATTCAGACCACAGGGAGCCAGGACCAGGCTGGTACCCTCCTTCTTTCCTACTGAGTGTGCAGGGCTGGTGAAAAGTCGTTTTCTGTTCATCTAGGTTTTTTTTTCAAGGCCCCCCCCCCCCCCCGAGCTTAGTTCCGTAGGAGTAGCACCCTCAGTGAGATGGATGTTCGGAGTCCCCGAGGCGAGCGCAACCCCCACCAGCCCTGCAGGCAAGAGGCAGATGAATTTACTGTGCTGTTTCCTGGAATGCTTCAATTTATAGCATCCATATGGAGACACTGCCCAGTCGCAGCCCCCACAAGCCCACGGCAGGCATGCAGGCTGGAGCCAGGAGGCAGCACATTGGGCTACACATATCACTTATTCTTCACTCGTTCATTCAGTCCTTGGGATGTGGGGTGTGTCCATCAGTGTGGCAGGGACTCCTGAGCACTGCACGGATTGGGACCCTACCCTGCAGGGACTTTGGCTACCTCCCAATCTTGTCCTAAATCACCATGGAAAATTCTATCAAGGCAAAACTAATAGAAGACAGACACAGGGTTGCAATGTCCATGAGGGGTGACAGAATGCTAAGCCGCCAGCCAGGGACTCCTACTGCCAGGGAAGGCTTATGGGGTCAAATTGGGCAGTGTCCTTGTGATGGTCCCTAGGGATGGGTTGGAGAGGAGCAAAAGACTGTGACTGCCCTGGACTTGTGCCATAACTGTGACCTACTTTTTCTCCTGGCAGAGAGGAACCAGGACACAGATCTGCTGGGGTAAAGTAGCTGGGCAGCACTATGGCAACCCTAAGGGTGTAGGTATAAAAGTGGGAGTTGCTACTGCATCTAGCAGAGAACAAAAGCAAAAGGAATGCTCTTTGCTGAGTACCTACTATGTGCTGGCAGCAGGCCAAGCCTTTACTCAGACTCACAGGGTGAATCCTTCCAGCCACCCCCTTGCTAGGGAGTTGGCACGGAGACCTGTCTGAACTTGCACAGTAAGTGAGTAATTGGGGCTTTAAACTTAACTGGTTGTCTGTGACCAGGTGCTATGAAGCACCTGGGGGATGAAGCTTTTAAACTGAGAGCTGTAGATCAGAGGCAAGATCACGGGCAGAGACAGAGGGTGAGGGCAGTGCTGCAGAGGCGGGTGGGAGGACCCCCTAAGAGCTAAAAGATCCAGAAGGCCTTCCTGGAGCAGGTGGGATCTGAACTTGGTCTTCAAGAGGGTTTGGCAGGGGAGGATAGTAGCCTGGATGTGGGAGATGTCACATCAAGAACCATATGACTGAGCCCAGGTCATCTCTTCATCCACACCTCTGTCTTGTCTGTTCCCCTACCTACTCACCCATACACCCACCCATCTACAAGTCCAACTGTCCATCCATCCAACCATCCCATTCATCTATCC